GAAGCTTTTCTTGCTTTGAGCCTGGTGGTTTCAAGTGTTCAGGACAAAATGGGAAATCATTATGCATATTATGTAGTTCTGTAGGATAATCTAAATCAACTTCCAAAATATAACCTATAGTTGCATCATCTGCAACGTTAAAATTAAAGCTATTGTCAAATTTTAAAACCCACTTGAAATCACCATAGGGAAGAGACTGTACCATGGCCCAACCATACAGATTATTAGCGTCTAAATATACAATGTAAGAAGTCTCCTCATTGACACTGTGCTCTTTCATATATTGATTATTTGCTTTGGCATAACTATTTGTACATTGACTTATGCCGCCTCTTATACCACGTTCAATAAACATTATCATATCAATGCAGGATCTAACCCGTATGCTTTTAAGCATTGTTCACGGAAATTTTCAAATACATCAGCAAGCAGCAAGATGTCAGTTTTCATATATAAATAAACATAATCACTAAGACTTTTACAATTAAATTCTGACCATACTTGCTGAGCATGTAAATATTCTTGATCTGATATATTTGAATCATTCAATGTACTATAAAAACGATCTTTTTGGGGTAACTGAGTTTCTTCGAGTTTTTCCTTAGAGTCGAGATACTCGTAAGGAAAAACTCCTTTTCGGGTTAACAAATTAACTTTATTATCGCTATAGGTTGAAAAGTTTGATTTAACAATTTTGTATTCGTTTAAATATGATGCTAATTTGTCTAAAGATGATGCCATAAATCTAAATGAATCTATGAATCTAAATTTAATGAGACTTGCTTCAACATGTTTTGTAAAACTAATATATTTTTCCTTATTAATGGGAAGAACGTCAACTTTACCTTCAAACTCATTCGCGATTGCTTTAATAATAAAATGTGCGTCATAACCACTTAAATTATGGAAGACTACAGGAACTATTCTAGAATCTTGATAATTGACATTACAATCTTGATGGGCTGCACCTCGATACACCCCAGTCAGATGGCAATGATCTCTAACTTTTACTTCTCCATGCTTGATAGTTTTCATACAAATGTGGCAAATATTACCTACTTTAATTGCGGCTTTTTGATCTGCATTTAGAGTATCCATTGCAATATTTACCATAAATGTAGGTTCAATTTCTTCCGCCAACTTTTTCAACTCTTTTGCAAACCATCTCGCCGGATCTTCTTCATTCTTAGGTGATGCCGTGTATTCATTTAAAGAGTCATCATAACTCTTTAAATAGAATCCGATACTGAGAAGTTGATGTTGTTGAACTACTTCTGTGCGACATCCCATAGATGAAGAATTCTCCCCTGGAACTAGTAGTCTCTCGCAATCTGCATATATGATGAATGGTACTTTTTCTTTATTACTAAAGTTCTTGAATTGAATGCTATTAGATCCGGGTTTCGGTAAGATGATTTTGGTGTTATTCATTTTCTGTCAATCCTCAACGTGCTCGGTAAGTTTATCGTTGCTTCTGAAATAGTGAAGACAACGATCGCAAATAAATAACGCATGCCCATTTGTTGAGACTTGGTTATTTATTAGACGCGATAAAGATTATATCCAAACATAGTGATATTTGTTGGAAATTGAAGAATCTTCTTTATCATCATCCTCATCAATGTAGTGATCATCAACACGTAGGAGATTAACATGTTTCGAACGTTTCTGCGAGGTTAGGTGGATTGGCGAGACGGTGAATTTCCCCTTTCGTTTAATAAGACAATAAACATTTACTGAAATATTGTTAAGCACTTCGAATCTTGCAACGTCATTCAGTGCTACGGGGAATTTAATATTTGTAAAATTTAAATGATGCTGAATATTTTCATAGTTTTGCAAACGAGATGGATTTGACGAAGCTTCATACAATGCCGATAATATTGCCCACTTTAAGCATTCATTATCCTCTTCATTTCTGACATTGACACAGGCACGTTTAGCTTTAATAGATGGCGGTAGATCAATAAAAGAACCAACACGCAAAGGATTGTATTTGTTAATATTGACATCTAATCTATGGATTGAATAGAGTTGCCAATTTGATTCTTTATCTTGAAAATCTTCAATTTCTTTAAGGGTTTTCTGCTTTACATAATCATTATACCAATCGCGTAACTCAGTTGAAGGGAAAATTGACTCTGACTTATTAATGAAATATTTTATATCGAATTCTGTAGTGCCGTCAGGTAAAAGTTTTTTATATTTTGCATTGAATACTGTATATACTTTCAACGGACCGAACGTGTCTAAGCAAGTTTTAATGTGATTTTCAAAAGGAACAAAGGCATCATCTAAAAATTCATTAACATCTAAGTGACTTAAATTAATGACTGTACCGGTTTGTAATTGATTATTAAAACCCGAATCAGTTAGAGCCCATTTAATTTTTTCATTTGTTTGATTAAGTCCTGCACCGTGCTTCATTAGCGAATCAAAGTGGCATTTCAAGTAATTTATATGATGTAATAACGTTAAGATCCTATGTTTTTGAAGAACTGAGAAGCTATATTTTCTAAAAAATTGAATTAAAATTGCATAATTTTGTCTAGACTTGTGATGCCACTGAAACGCACTAATGAGTCGATCGTCACCGGATTTTCTAGAGCATAACTCTATATTGGCAGCATCAATGAAATTGTCTGAGGCTTCACAAATCTCATTGAAACTATCAATAGAGGTGTATGGTTAAGATGTTTCGATATTTCTACGGTTAGACATTTTTTTTTTAAATTCTGAAAAGGATTAAATGAGGAAAAAGCTGAAAAAATCTGAAAAGAACGCTGAAAATAATACTGAAAAGAACGCTAAAAAGAAGGCTGAAAAAATGCTGAAAATAACCTAAAAAAATCTGAAAAACCGATCAAAAGAATTTGGAACAAGTTGGAAAGGAAGTAGTGGTGGTAAAGGGGTGAGGTAGTGCTCGATGACAAACGCTTTTTAAAGATGCCTCCCGAAGATGATGTTGTGAAGCTTCACTCTGCTACTTTTAGTATATCTGAAACAGAAATAGAATTATAATCAATTTGATGAATATTAAGAGAAATTTATGCAAAGATATATAATTTGAGTAAACTTACAATGCTGCTATAAAATTTGGCAATGCAAACGAATGTTTGTCTCTTGTAGGAAGATTGACTTGATATTCTTGAATCTAAAACACAAAAAAGGATTATGATTAATTTGATATAATTTATGTATAAGAATATAAGACTAAGATTAACTAACGCTGATGCTCTTGGTACTGCTTCTTCAACAAAGTTTTGTACTGGAATGAGACCTCTGAAGAGGATTGTTATAGATATATGGCTAGTGTTGGAGGTCTGATGCTGCTGATTCTGGAAGCTAAAACAGAATGACTTTCCTTGCCACGGGAATCGCCTGAGGTACATGTAGTCCCCACCATTCACAACATCCCACCACTGAACTTTATCCCCACTTGACGCATGGACTACCAACGGGCCCCGGTGACCGTACACGCAAATCTGCCGCGCACCTTTCACTTTTGAGTCATCCACTGTGCGCCACCCACAGCCACCCACTCCCAACCACCCACAGTCCCGCGCAGTATCTCGCGAACCCTTCGTTCCTCGAGGTTCTAATTATGATTACAAGTCCGTTATTAGTTTTTAAAAATTCAAAATGGCGGACTCAAATTAGTAGCCCAAAATTTAAATAATTAAGTTAAACACGTGAAATTGTTTACTCCGGGGTTTTCGGGGTCACTGATTACGAATCTGCGGTTACTTTTTAAATATTCTAAATGGCTGACCAAAAATCCAAAAAATTAAGCTAAACTCCTTAAAATGTCTACCTAAGGGTTTTTCAGGACAATCTTTACGAAATCATCGTTACTTTTTGAAACATCAAAATGGTGGACCAAAATATAAAAAATTGATCTAACTTTTTTATATTGAACGTAAAAAAGTGCCATTTGAACTTATCAAATACAACGCCAGATAACTTTTTATGGAAATTACGTGAGGATTATTTAATTAATAATCACAAGACTAGCTTAATTTTTTAATTCTATCCGCTATTTTGAATTTTAAATAGAGATTTGTCATCAACCATTTAAAAATTTTTTAAAACTGACATCGGATTTGTAATCAGCGACCAAAAAAACCCCTATGTAGCCATTTTTACGAAATTAGCTCAATTTTATAAATTTTTGGTCCGCCATTTTGAATCCGCCATTTATAATTTTTAAAAACTGACATCAAATTCGTAAACAGCAATCTCAAAAACCCCCGAGTTGTAATTTTCACGAGCCTAGCTCAATTTTTAATTTTATCCGCCATATTTAATCCGCCATTTTGAATTTTTGAATTTTGAAAGGAGATACGTTAACAGTTTGTAAGTAAACTATGTTGTCGTTATTTTTATCGTCATATGTGAAGCTTTAAACAATAATATAGATCATATTAGTGGATTTTTTGTGTTTTTTATGTCGTTTAGGCGCCATATTTAAGTCGCCATTTTGAATTTCAAAAAGCGCCCAACGGGATTAAAAAGTAGACATTCCAAGCTAATTTTTCCAATATGCTAAATTTTTTTTAAATTAAACCAATTATAGAGAGATGGGGTGGTCCGGTTGACAAAGAACGTCCCATATATGTTTTATAAATAATTATATATAATTTTTTTTAATATTTAGGTTGCTTGTAAAAATAAAAACCATCGTAGAAAAACGATTAAATGAAAAGAGAAATCTCAACAACTTTTAAAACTAATAAATGAAGGAAGAAGCAGAAATGAAAATTATGTAAGTGTTCATTTTTTTATTTTTATAGAGAAAACGGGATATTATCAAATTGTTAACAATGTTTAAATATTTTTGATTTTTATTTGAAAAAAAACCTCAAAATATCATAAAATAAAATTTTAATTTTGAAATAAAAAAAATTGAACATAAACAGTAAAACATAAAATTTAATTAATGTAAAATATTTAAGTTTTTTTCATAAAATTAAAGTAAAAATTTTTTTTATTAATTTCAGAACCATTTTGAGGAAAGTAATGGAGACGAAGTTTTAAACAATATAGAAAGTAGCGACACTTTAACAAATATTGCTGAAGCATTCAAAGAAAATAATGATTTTGTTTTAGAGGAAATACCAGAAAATATTATTGAAAATAATTAACTCTCAGGCAATCGAGAGCAAGATTTTAATGCGGTAGAGGGAGAATTACAATCGTTCAATGAGCATGAAACTAGAAGTCCTACGGATGATATTGAATTTATAGATAAAACACGTGAGAGTCCAAATGAAGTTAAAATATTAAAAACAAAAAAAATAATAAACATAGGCAGGAGAATTTGCCGACTTTCAAAAGTCGATTGCATGCAGTACAAAAAGTGTCAGTAAATTCACCTCAGTTTTAGCTGACGTAATTTTTCAAAAAAAGGAACTTGCTTCATCCTCATTAACCGGGAAAATCTGCTATGCCAATATAAATAAAAACTGTCCTCCATTATCTCAACTTGATGAAAAGTGTGTCGAAGATATGTTAAGTAAGTATTGCCTCTGAATTAATTATTTATTTCGTATTTTATATATTTTGTTCGTGTTTTCACTTTGAACGATAAGTTTTAGAAAAAAATAATGTTTTAGTTTTTTGGTAATATTTTTTAGCGTAGCTCTTGAATTTCTCAAATTTGTGTATCAATGATACAAAAATAGTACTGCTTTTTTAAATATCAATAAGAACTAAATTAAAAAAAAATGTTCAGAAATATAGAAGACCTTGAAAAATGGTTAAAGTTCAGAATTACATCGAGAAAAATTAAATTTCTTAAAAAATATTATCACCAATCTGGATGCTTCCAGAAACCAATCCAGAGTAGGGATGCATTTTTAAAAAATTAATTTTAATATATGGATTCCTAAACTGTGGCCATTTTTCAAGGTCTCCTATACTTTTCAGCATTTTTTTATTAAAATTTTCATTATAATTTTTTAACAAAATATATTGTTCAATGTATCTTCTAAATATTGTCCTATAGAAAAAATAACATATTATTTTTTTGAAAATTGGAATTCCTCGGAGAAGAATTTATAACTAAAAATCTATTGAAGTACGTAGGGGATTTTGGAAAAAAGAATTTTTTTTAATATAAGATGTTTACATCAAAATTTTCGACTGTTATTGGTAAAAGAAAATTGTAAAATTTATTTAGTTGAAAATTGAATTACACTACAATTACAAATTGTGCGACCTCTGCTTTTTCAACAACTATAAAACTGTTTAAATATGCAAAAACATTAAAACTAAAATTTCTTCCTCTTTCTTTTATTCAAGGTAATAAAATTCTGAAAAAATGACACCTTCACAAAGATAATATGTTAAATTGATTCTTTATGAGTTGGCTCATAAAAATTCAAAAAATTATGATTAATGTTTAAATGACAAAAAATGATTAGTAAAATATATAAATCTTAAACTTAATTACATAAATCAAAGAAGTTTAAGATTATTAATGTATTTGATTTTTAAAAATTAAATTTTGTTATAGTATTGAACTTTAATTTTTTGAATTTTTTTTAGACAACTTTCACGGTTTGTATACACTAGGGAAGAATGTGTAAATGAATTGTTTTGAATAATATGAATTATATAACAAAATAAAATTCAAATGAGCACACGAACGTTTAAAAATATTAATTTTTTCCACATAAATAAAAAAAAATAGTAAAAACATTGAAAATTGGGGTTTTATTAGATATCTATTTTTAAAATTAATATATTCTGTTTATCAAGGTGTCACTTCTTTCACAATTTTATTAGCTTTTATAAAATAAAAAGGAAAAAGTTTTAGTTTTAATATTTTTTAAAATTTAAACCGTTTTATAGTGATCGAAAAATCATAGTTCGCACAATTTTCAACAGTATTGTAATTATTAAATATATTGTTCAATATATCAAAGCTAAACCATAACACTTTAAAATTATTTACAGATATTACAATGTCAAAATTCGGGAAAAGCCAGGACGTCCAAAAATTATTTAGGATATCGCTAAGGACAAAATTAAGCAATGCAAGAGGACGAAAAGGGAAACCCTTGCAAAATATAAATTAATAATAAAAATAACCTCGCCATTGAAACAGGTTAATTGTTTACTAAACTGTAAAAAATATGATATCTATATAAAAGTATTTTTCATCAAAGTCAAATATGTGTTAAATGAAATTATAATCAATGTTAAATTAAACTGTAATCTTTTATAAATAAACATAGTATTTTTAAATTAATACCTTTTTACTTAATTTGTATTTAAATTTGTATTTAGACATTTTTTGTATGTCAGTTTTTCCATGTCATTTTTTGAGTGCCATCGCGAAATAACCACACTCACAAGAAGGACATTCATGAGCATCATTTTTGTCATGTCATATTTTTTCGTAAGGGGTGCTCAATCATAATTTTATTATGATGGCAATTAATATGACAAATTTAAACTATTTTTTTAAAGTGATCACAATGTTTGATGCATAAAAATTAGCTGACATTAATAACTTTCGACATACAAAAAAAATTCGCATAAACATTCGATGTATTAACTATTCTATGACTATTTTGAAAATGTAGAAAATGGGGAGTTGTGCCTCGCATCATATTTAACAGTTTTTAATCCCAATACGCACTCTTCTTTTTTTATTTTGCATTATTTATAAATAATTAGAATGTTTATGTAATTTAAATATTGTTCTTTAATGAAAAGAGACTTTTTATATCTGTATTCGCTATAAATGAAATTAATTACCTAGTTTCATTCAATTATTTTTAAAGTAATTTAATTTTATCTAAATTATATAAAATTAATCTTTTATTATCTTATCTATTACTTTACTTTATGTAAGTTATCTTACTTTTTTCATATTTCATAATTTAAATAAAGAATATTCTAAAAAATATTTCTTTTTCTTCAATTTTCAACAGTGGAGCACAACTCCCCACTGTTTTTGACAAGTCATAAAACCAGTATTTTCGAAAAACAAGCAAAATTTCTATTTCCGTTTTGAATTTTAATTAATCAATTATGCCAAAAGATGTGTTTGATCGTGTACTAAAAGTTCCATATAATAGGTAGAATAGACAAAAAAAAACTTATGTAATAGTTTTGATCGAAAAACAAAACCTGGAGCACTACTCCCCCCACTCTCCTACATTTTTTCAATACCAAGTGTATACATTTAATTAAAACAAAATTTTACTACAAGGAATTTGTATTTTACAGAAAGTAATTCAAATAGCCTGTGATGGTCAGCTCCGTCAGAGCCAATATTCAAAAATTTGTTCTCATTTCATTGCATTTATAGCTGTTGAAAACAAGTAGAATATATTGGAGATTTGGGAAAGTCAATATAAAATATTTTATTTAAACACAAACACAAATTGACCATAAACATTATTGTAATACAATTGAAGGTCTGGTACGGACAAGTGCTCTTACAACGTAAAGCGCACTACAACGTAAAAAAAATTTAATTCTCAAATATTTTTATCATTTTGTCGTCTTCCTTAGAATAAATTATGTTTTTACACCAAGTTTCAATTAAATTCAATCATAAATAAAGATATTCAGTTTTTATTTATAGGGTAAAAATTCTGTAGCGTACTAATTGAAAAAAAGTTGATCGGATCAGGCTGTAACTTGCACATAGTTTAGCCCTAGGGTTGAGTACTTTAACAACAAAGTATTGATAAGTTTTTTCAAAAACTGTAGGAGAGGAAGCAGGTTGAACTTTTTTGAAAAATTTAAACAGTGAATTTTTAATGACTTGTAACTTTTTAATAGAAAGATAAAATAAAATTTGATCTATATGTTTTAGAAAGGTTTATTCCTGCTCTTTCGAATAGTGCAAAACTTTTTTCAAAAAATTCCAAATTTGACTCTTTTTTGAAAATCAAAAATATTTTTGACTTTTTTTTTAAATTCGGTCTTTTTTATATTATATTTTTTTTTTAAAGCTAAAAATGTGTATTTTCACCACAAAAAATATTGAGATGTCCTTTTTTGTTGTTTTCGAGATATTAATTAATTAATTAATGTTAATAAAAAATAAAATATTTTACAAATAAATAAAATTATTGCAATTCTGAAACTACCAATTGAAAGCTGACGTAATTCTGCATCCAACGAGTCCTATATGAACTATTTTGGATGAGAGGATTCTTTATAAACAATTGCAATGTTAGCCAATTGTTTATTAACAATCCACTAATCCAAAGTACTTCAAATAGGTCTCGTTGGATGCGGAATTATGTCAACTTTTATTTAGTAACATTACAATTACGATAATTTTATTTGCTTATAAAATATATCATTTTCTATAAACCTTAATAATTAATTAATTAACTAAAAATGTCATATTTCGTTGCCTTCGAGATATTTATTAATTAATTATTGGTGGAAATTCACCTCTAACGCGTGTATTTAGGGAAGCGAATAAAGCAAGCGAGATTGACTTCTTTGATAGAGCAAGTAACAAATTTCTAAAAACACTAGCGGATTATGTAAAAAGCACCTCTTAAAACTGTTCTTTCGATTGGATTACATCCATGACCTTTTTTTTATTATGTAATACTTTTATTATTATTAAAGGGCATATTATTTTTGTAAGCCCGTTTACATGTGTAAAATAAAAATAAAATTAAAATAAAATAATTAATGTTAATAAAAAATGATATATTTTATAAACAAATAAAGTTATTGTAATTCTGATGTTACTAAAAGAAAGTTGACATAATTCCGCATCCAACGAGCCCCATAATAAGTACAGTCGGATTGCCCCTTGAGTTATGGTAGGGCAGCAGACAGTGCCGTATCATGGTGTCTTCCAATGCTTATTAATGTATAATGAATAATTCTTCTCGAATATAAAAGAGTGAATAATAATTTAATATATAATTAGATTAAAATTTAATTTACCCACTTCAAATTCATAATTAAAAACATTGTAATGATAGTTAGAAATCGGCCGGTAAATATTTTTACTAAATATTATCGCGCGTCGATAAACATGTTACCGACCGCGGAGCACAAAGACGTAGTACCCGATTTCGTCGCGCGGACCGCATCGCCAAAGCTCACTCGCGTGCGCCCAGCCCACCGATAGGCTATATAAGCTGCGCTCCCGCTGAGTTAGCTGAGTATCGTCACTCTCGTGCTACACGGAGTCCGAGTGGGTCTTACCCACTTGACTAGGAGGTTTACTCCGAAAATCTTTGTAGAGAGTTTTACTCACGTTCGTCAGGTTTAACCCGTCGAACATTATATCGGTTTTATGTGTAAATAGTGTATAGTAACGAATTGTGAAGTAATGCATCGCAATGTATAGTAAAGAATTGTAAAATAACAACATTATTTTTATTTTATAAACGTACATATTTAAAAACGATTTTATACGGCGCTGATTTTCGATGCGCACACAAAAAGTAGGAGAATGGCACCCGACACTTACCGAAATTGTACTATACTTTGGATTAGTAGATTATTAATAAACAATTGGCTAACATGGCAATTGTTTATAAAAAATGCTCTAATTCAAAATAGTCCATATATTAACATTAATTAATTAATATCTCGAAAATAACAAAAAAGGACATCTCAATATTTTTGTGTTGAAAATACAAATTTTTAGCTTTTAAAAAAATATATAATATAAAAAAGACCGAATTTAAAAAAAAAGTCAAAAATATTTTTGATTTTCAAAAATCCCAATGGGCAAGGTCATCCACTAGATGTCCCAAGGACATCCTTTTCGGAACGTTCTTGGGACATTGTTAAGAAGTCGTTCTAAAGATATCCTTAGGACATCCCAAAAATGTCCCTAAAAAGGCATCCTGTAAATGTCAGAATGAATGAAATAAAGACATCCAAAACAAGATCTATGTCTGGCCTAGAGCAGTTACAAAAATATCCTTAAGAAACCTTAAAGATATTTTTGAAAATTATGGAAAAAATTTGATTCTTTTCAGAACATTTTTTAGACATATTAAGGATATTACAAAGAAGTCTGTTGGACATTTTTTGGACACGTTTAGTACATTCTCAGAACATAATCCTTTTTCGGCGAATTAGCCCATAAGGATCAATATATATGACCAGTAATCACGATATAGTTTTTTTGTGTATTTGGATCTTCAAGAGCACTTCGGTGTTGTGGGTCGTTTGACGATTAAGACTTTATACCCTTTACATTACGCGCTCTTTAGTCTATGAAGTATACATAATTTCAACGTAATATTCATTTTGTTTATCAAAAATTTTAGAACATTTTAGTACATTACTTAGCCATTTTTAGCATATTTTTGATACATTCTCAGGACATATTTGGGACATTCTCAGGATATGGTTGGAACATTTTGGGGACAATTTCAGGACATTCTTAAGACGTTTTTTGACATTTCGGGGATATGTTTAGGAAATTCTGGGGACTTTCTATAGTCGTAATAAAAACATTTTTGGGACAATTTTAGGACATTCTCAAGACTGTTCTGGGGAAGACATAGAATATACTTTGGGCGTCTTTAAGTCGTCTTTTTTATGTCTTTGGAACATTGACGCAATGTCCTAGGACACTTTGGAACGTTCTAAAGTCATCCTAAAATTCGAAAGAGCAGGAAAAAATCTTTCCAAAACATATAGATCAACATTTTTTATCTTTCTGTTTAAAAGTTACAAGTCATCAAGAATTCACTGTTTAAATTTAAAAAAAAAATTCAACCTCCTCCCTCTCCTACAGTTTTTGAAAAACCTAACAATACTTTGTGGTTAAAATACTCACCCCTAGGGCTAAACTATGTGCAAGTTACATTCCGTTCCGATCAACTTTTTTTTCACTTAGTACGCTACAGGAATTTTACCCCCTAATATAAACTATAATTTGTATAACTATATTTACATAACTATAATATTCGTGCTACAAAAAAATCAAAGAGAAAAAAGTTGCTTTTTTCATGCTTTACAAGATAGAATTTTTTAAAATGACAAATTTTAATTTTTTTACTTTTTAGTGCGCTTGACTGGTATGAAAGCGACCAAACGAGCACAGGGGCACTTATCCAATCCAGACCCTCAATTGTTAAAAAAGGGGATTTTATGAGGGCAATAAAGTAAGGAATATAAACAATTCTGTAAACTTATTATTATATGATTTAGGCCGATATATGGCATCCTTATGAGTGAAGCTGTTGAGAATCCGCCTTGATGACCATCTTTCATCCTTTTTCCTCCATGGTTTTGTCTTTCTACTTACGTAATTTATGTGGGATATCCAGCTGCTTAGTATAGGTACTGCGTCTCTTGTCATAGCGGTTAAGTTTTTCGTCATCTTTGGTTGATAAAATCTGTGATTCTTCTTAAAAAGTTAATTTTTTTTGTTGGTTTATCGTTTTCAGTGTTGTGATTAACGGTCTAATGGTCAAGTTGGTTATTTTCTTCGCATTGAAGTATGTTGGAAATTTCGGAAATGTCAGAGGAGGAGTCCTCGAGGTCTTTTCGCTCAACTCGAGACCTTAACCACGTGTTCAGACATAATAGAGGTTTAGTTAATTATAAATCTTCCTCCTGTTCTCTCAAAAAACAAAATATTTTGATTCTGATCTCACTCCTCAGACTTTGTTCACTAAATTAACATCAGTTTTTGTCCCTGACTCTCAAATGTTTAAAAATTTTAAACAAATTCTTCAGATTATTTGTTGCAAAAGAGCTGAAACGATTGAAAATAGAAGAGAACGTTTACTTAAGGAGTTGCCCAATAAAAACGTTCAAGAAGCCTTGCGTAGAGTTCCTCTAGAGCATAATATTTGTTCGACAAGGGAATTTACAATCCTAAATTCAATCTTTAGGAGGTTCTCACACCTCTTATAAATCTTAATAAGATTTATAACAGGCGATAGTCAACACAATAATTTTATTTTATTTTTATAATAAATTAATAAAAAATTTAAGTTATTTTGTTACTTTCTTTGCACTTTTTTCTTACTTTAAAAACTTAATAATTTCGTAATTTAAAAAGATCACAAAAAGTGATAGTTCCATCGTGTATAAATAGTGGACAAGATTTGTTTTACTATAAGAAATTAATTTAAAAGAATGTGAGAAGTACTAAATTCTGATATTTCCGATTGTAACAAATACAAAGTGACTAATTTTGAAGGTTTGATTCCATGGGTAGGATTTGCAGAATTCGTTACTTTTACTCTAACGAAAAGAATAACTTAAAATTAATAAATTGGGTAGATGTACCATTTGATACCATTTCTTTTAATATTATTAAATTTTATGAAGTTATTATATTACATTATATGTACATTTATAGAATTCTGAAATAATTTGAGAACACTGTGGCAACTTATTTTTGATAGAAGTTCAGTTGGCTCAATTGAAAAGAAATATTTATTTTTTACAGTGCACATTAAAACAATTTTTTGTGAATTGTTAGTATAAACTGTTATAACATCACTGCTAAGTAAATAATTATTATTTAAAATTAATAGCAATATTTTTATAATTTATCTCTTTTATAATATATATAAAGAATAAATATATATTAATAATATTAATTTTAAATAATAACCTTAAATATTTAAATAAGCTCGTGGCCAAAAGTGGAACAAAAGGCGGTCACAAATGTTGCTGTGGCCACTACTGGTGAAAAAGGACTTCTAAAGCAATTTATTTATTTTTTAATAATAAATAAAGTTTAAAAATATTTTTAATTACAATAATCAAATTAATAATATATATTAGACTTGATAAAAAATAAATTATAATTAAATATAGTGGGTTAAAGTGTTTATTTTTTTAATAAAAGATGATAAATCGCTTAAAGTGTCCACAAATGGTACTTCTACCCTACATGTACCACAATAATATTTTATATTTTCATTTAATAACTTTTAATAAAAAAATTGAATTTCGATAAGACAAATTTTAAAATAAGTTTTCAGTAACTTGAAAAGTAACTTAAGTTAAGAGCAGCAATCAATCTTTTGGAATATCTGGGTTGAAAAGTCAATCTTCAGAAGAGTTCCTTGTCAAAACTTAAAATTTTTGAGTGTCACTTGGGACACTCATCTAAATTATAATAGCCACCCTGGGACAAAATCGCAAACTCGAGTGGTATTCTAAAACAACTTCAGTGTCTTCTAGAACATTTAAATTTACTTCAACTTTTTTATACTATTATTCAAATTCTGGACTTATACTTTTGACATTTTTATATTTATAAATTTTTTGTTCTTTATTATCTTTTTATTCATAAAAACACAAAGCGTTGAGTAGAACTCCAGCAGATAACAAACATGTCTCTCATGAGGATGCCGTGTGCAGACCGAAAGTATATAATATGAATGTTTTGCAATAAAACAAAACATGTATTATATTCGAAAGTCGATACACGGCATCCTGGTAGGTATCTTGCTGGATGAGAGACTCTATGACAAGAGACGCAGTATATACTGCGCAGCTGGATATCTCACATAAACTACGTAAGTAGAAAGACAAAAGCATGGAGGGATCATCCATATATCACGTGATATCTTTAGGGATGGGAGGGGGGTAAGCAAACTATCACGTTCCATGGAAATTTAATTTTTTAACAATAGAAAAAGTATCACGCAGGGGAGGGAGAGGGTTCAAAATACCAAAAATATGCGCCTCTGAGTCGGTAAAGAAGCAACACGCCTTTAGTGACGCTGCATTCCTTTTTCGGTGGTGCTGAATGCTCAATTTTTGGGCAACAGCCTTTGGGACAGCGACAACCGCAAATCGCCCAAACTGAAGTCGTGCTACACTTCGTGAGTTTTCAGCTACTTGGAATAGTCAGTCGCCGAATATAAATGTTCAAAATCTGTTTAGATAATCGAGAATTATTTTCCTTTTACTTAACCGGATATTATTTAGCGTGTAATAGATGGGAAGGTAAACCTCGCTTCTAACATCAAATAATACGCACTGTAGTTCTATAAATGATGCTCAGAAAATTATCAGCTGATGCAGATTTCATCGACGTTCCCGAAGAACTTTTCGTACAAATAAAAACATTGCAAACTCAATCTACACCATCTAGTGTAAGCTTAATTTTATTAACATACAATACAAAAAGGTAATATAATTATAATTCTTTTTGCAATGCCCAATTTCAATTTATTTAACACTAAGCCAGCAATTATGTCAAATTTATTTCATTGCTTACCGCTCATCGCAACCCAAGAAGTAACAGCTGATGGTATATTCATGCCGGGATCATCGAAATATGTCAACCCAAACTCTATTCCAAAGTCATTTATATCTTTATATGGCTTTATAACCATGAAAGACCAGTAAGATTTTACCCTAAAATCAAATAAAATTGCATTAAAATGATAAGGTTAAAACCTCGTAATATATTTTTATCCAATTTATTTATGTCAAAGGATATAGAAAATATATATAGAAAAGAAAAAAATTTAGTATTCTCTTCAAGTTATTATAATCATATCTATACTTTGTTCTATAAGAGAACGTGTTAGAAAAAAGGAAAGAAAAAATCAGTTTTAAATAATAAATTGAAAAATTATTTTAACTTACTGTTCGCAGTAAAAGTGCCTATTATTTAAGACATTTTCAAATTAAAAATTACTATTATGTGTAAAATTTACTTTATATAAAGTAAATGTTTTAAAATGTTTACGAGAGCTTCATGAAGCAATAGAATCCAAACGATTTTTTAAAAGAAATCCGCCATATTAGATCTGCTTTTTGAATTATGAAAAACGGACACTGGATTAGAAATCAGTGACCCCGAGAACCCCCACGTAGAATGTTTCAAGCAAATACGAACGTTTTGGAAAAAAAGTCTGCCATGTTGAATACGCAATTGTAAATTTTGAAAAACTGACACCGAATTCATAAAAAGCGAAACCAAAAACCCCCAAATAACGTGTTTCAAGTCCAAATACCCAAAAAAAAAACTAAAATGGCAATTATTTTGAAAATTTAACTTGATCTTGAAAAACGGCTAACGCCATTGTATTCAGCGTATCCAAATTAGGTTAATACACTATATGCCCAGTTTGTTCATTTTCTGAACTAGCATAGTGCTATTAAACATACATGTATAAAAGAATCCGAGAATTCCTATGTACTAAAGTATGCTACAGAGTAGCACGTGCGTTACTCACGAAACACATGTATTTTTCACAAAAAATTCAATTAAAATTTTTCGGGCAAGTATGGGCAGCTAAATTTTGAATATGTTGTTTCTCATACTTTAAACTACAAACTTTTAATAGCTTTTAAGACGGAACAACGCAGAACATTTTAGTTTTTCACTTTTAAACGACAAATTTTTTCTAGTTTTTCGATTTACAATCGCATGGTATATTTCTTTTATTAATATTATAAATTTTGACTTACTTATAGGAACAAACTCCATTATAATTCCATATAACTGACGACTTTAACAAAATTTTTGGTATAGAAACCTACATCTCTTCTTTTCTAATTTAAACGTACAATCAACGACTTTCACGAACGCTATGTTTGAACTGACTAGTACTTGAGTAGCACCAGAACTGGGCCAAGCCAGACCTACAAGACTAGCGATGCTAGATGCTTTCTACCTTGCGCCAGGCTTAAGTCTAGACGCTTCAGAAAATTTCTCTACACGGGATGCAATAGTCTTTTCTGGACTGACTATCGTTTCTTTTACCCTTCGTTCATCCTGTCCATCTTCGATCTTTTGAGCCATGTCAATAAGTTTGTTTTTCATTGTCTTCAGGACACGAACGCTGATTCCCGTATGTGGAATTAGAATTACAGAAGGGTGAGTTTTATTATTTAATGCGTGATGCACGCGAAGTGGAAAATTGTATCAAATAATGTATGTATGTAAATAAGCGATCATTCTAATGCCCGGCTACTGACAAAAACTGTTCACCGTGCCATTTTTTTACATGTTAGAGTGACTGGTTGACGTATAATCGACCACTTTACAGCCAGCTGACGTTTTTATTTGTTTATATTATGATGTGAACTATCATCTGACAAAGTATAAGTCGGAAGGAAATGACTGAAAATAATATTTTTTACGTGTTGGGAAGGGTGTAGCTCCCCAACCCACCGCTGGTAGCGCAGGTGACGGTCACGTAGCTTCATGACACAACTGTAACAATTATTTTACAAATTATCGGCCGGGAGGAAATGACCTACCTAAATCTGCGGCTGGCTCCCGGATTTTACAAGGCGAGTGTCAAGGGCACAAGGTATTGATTGTAAAAACTAAATCGAATTACCAATGTATCTTTGCATTCTGCAGGAGCATTTGATTCTTCCGACCAGTGTGTGGTTTCTTTTCTTATATCAGATGTACAAAAAATATTCCAATATTATTTCTCGGATAACTACAATAATAATAATAATAATAATAATTGAAATATATAAATCTTAAACTAAATATTTTTTGAGTTCGGGTTTGCAGTGTAGAGCACAGATAACTGAATATTTATGCAAAAAACCATTCTTAAATATTATCACTGCAAACAAATTTCCCCGAAATAAGGCAAAAATCGCACTCAAATTTGTTCGTGTAAATACTTCCTTTATGAGGTAGCAATATGAATCTGTATGTCCGTCATTTTAAATTTTGGAATTCTGATATCAAATTTGTAATCAGCGACCACAAAAACACTTAGATACCTATTTTTAGAAAAATCCGAACATTTTTTCAAAATTCTTCCCTTATTTTGGATACGCTACTTGGAATTTTGATATAAGATTGATAATTAGCAACACCAAGCATTTTAGTATACTTATTTTAACCAAAAAAATTTTACCAAAAATCTCCTTTAACTTACTGGCTATTGCATGACAAGCTGCTTTAAAAAAAAATTAAACAATTTCTTTTGTAGATTGTTTACCTATATAACAAAAATTGAATTCTTTCAAAATGGTCCCAAATTTACAAAAAATTTTTTTTAAATTTTCTCTTCGTCATGCAAAGCGTATTTGTATATTTAAACGATAAAAATTTTATTTTTTGATTTTGGTTAAGATTTGAGACCAGTAGGCTGCACGGCGCAAAACCAAAGATCTAACTTTAAACGCCTGTAACGCCGCCATTTTGCAATATTTTTAATTTAAAAAATTATTACACATAGCTTATATTGTATACTTTAAGGTATGCTTTATTTAAATTCAGTAAACTTTACCATTTTTTTATAAAAAAATCTTTAAAAAACGTGCATTTACACAAGTTTCCATCCTTAATGGATTAATGAGTAAATCCCTTTGGTCAGAATAACAAATTTATTATTCAGTGCTGAAAACCCCATGTAACATAAACTTTTATCGCTTGACTTCATTTTTTGCGGACTAACTATGTAGTGTTTTATTAAAACTTAGTAAATAATCTTAAATAATGTCAATTTACCTATAGGTATCAGTCCTATTAGGAGCTTTTGGATGTTCCGTTGCTTTACTTGCAATAACAACTGTATCTTTTTCCTTATTGTGCATCCATTTTCTTTGATAGACATAGTCTCTATTTGCAAACAATCTCTGGAATAGAGGAAAAGTAAAAATAATTAATCTATCAATTAGAAATTCTGTTAAATGATTTTTCGGTTAAGTAAAAATTCTGCAGTGGGATTACTAATAGCGCTAGTCGCTATGTAGCGCTTTTCGTTATTTAGAATTAAAAACTTACATATTTTTAGTGAAATTTGTTCCAAATCATGACCAAAATAAATTACCGTTGACAGTTTCTTCAAAGCTTAAACTGCAAGATGGTCATTTAGAAGAAAATATAAACATAACCCCTCTAGATAAGGACATTGACATAGGATTCATGTCAATTTCCTAAAATATTTTATCTACGTAGCAAACAAATACAATATGAAGGTGGAATAAATTCTCTAACTTCATGTTTGACAACTGTTAGTTTCAAATAAATTAATTAACTAGTGACGAAATAAATTATACTTTAATATTGTAAATAACATATTAATTTAATAAATAACAACTTTAAAAATAAATTATCTAGTTTAATGTTAAAATAATTTATAAAGGAAATAAATTTTTTTAATTTAATTCAATAAATAAAAATTAAGAAAATTAATCTTATTGCAAGAATTAAAAATAATAATTGCATGAGATTTAAAATTAGGATATTCTTTACCAGCCTAAATTTAAAAATTGATAAATTTTTTTAATTAAATTAATTAATAATTTTTTAATTAAATTGATTTAAATTTTCATTTCTTGAAGAAATCTTTAACTCACAAAAAATGCCGTATACATTTTTTTTAGTTAACCCTTGCGTGAAAACAAAAATTCTATTTTCGAGGTTATATCTTCAAAATTTTTTACATTAAATTTTTTTCCCATTTTAGACAATGTGTAATAGAAACTTTTAATCCTATGAAAAAGATAATAAATATAAATGCAATAAATATTTAATTATTAATATAAAAAAGAAAAGTAAATAGTTTATTATTATTGGATAAAGTTGAATTATTTTCTTGATTTTTTGTAAAGATAGAAATTGGAAATAAATGTCTCCTTTTTTTCTTTATTATTATTATGTTTCATTTAGTTTATAATTATTAATTGTAAAAAAATTTAAGGTTTAAATTTAGAAATAAAAGTGTTAATATAATAATATTAATAATTATCGTTGCCTAGAATTGCCTTTTTTATAACTTTTGAGATTAGAAGTGTTACACTTGAAAAATTTGTCAGATATTTTTTTTAATTGCTTCATTTCTTCATCGTGGAAAATCCTTATGAATTTGATACATTCTTGATTCTAAAAAAAATTGTTAAATTATAAAATAAATCAAATATGAGAAAAAAAATACACAGAAAAACAAGTGTACCAACTTAAATCTATCAAAATGATACCACTTTTTGAGTCACCCGATAGCTAAAAAATTTTTAATGTGAATGTTGCTTTGAATCGCTACGTAGCAAAACCTTCGTGGCTCTGTCGCTATTTGTAATCCCACTCCTGTAGTATGAAAAATCGGTTATATGAAAATTATATTAAATAATAATTCAAAAAATGAAAATTCATCTGAAAGAAAATTCTATGCAATAAAATTTTACCCAATAAAAATTCTTTAAAATGCCTATTATGTTAAATGAAAATTCGAGCAAATAAAAATTCTGACAAATAAAAATTCGAACAAATAAAAATTTTGTGAAGTGAATTTTCGGTTATATAAAAATTCAGTAAAATATAAAATCGGTTTGATGAAAATTATGCAAAATACTAATTCGGACAAATAAAAATTCGGCTCAAAACTAATTATGACAAATAAAATTCGATAAAATGTAAATTCTGACTAATGATTTTTAGAACATAATCATGCGCCCCATGAAAAAAGTCCACTTTTTTCAAAAAAAATTTCTTTTTCGAAAAAAACTTAATTAAAACAACTTCTTATCATGTTTGTTAAATTATTTCTATAATCTACACACAAAAATATATAAATTTGAATTACTTTAGATAAAATTTTCTTAGTTTATGGTCGAAAAATACATTTCTTTCCCTAAAATTATCATTTTTCTTTAAAAATTTGATAAAAATGAATCATTAACTCCAATCGTGCTCACATCTTTTTCCCTGTAATTTTTACGTTAAAATACATTAATACACCAAATATGACCTGTCTGCGTTGAATATTGTGTGCGCTAGGGGAATAAATCCGTTTTTTCGAAATTTTTTATTTTTCTTTGACAACGCTATGTAAATCGATCCGAATCAAGTTTGCTATATTTTTCCTGTAATTTTCGCGCAAAAATACATAAGTGTACCAAATTTGAGATCTTTATGTCAAAAGATGTGGCTGCTAGGGGGGGGGGAACTTAGTCATTTATCTTAAAAATTCATGGTTTTTCTTTGACAACGCTATGTTAATCAATTCCAATCAAGTTCGCAATATTTTTCCTATAATCTACACGCGAAAATACATATGTGTACTAAATTTCAGCCCTCCAGATAAATTTGTGTGGCCGCTAGGGGGGGTGGTTCACGGTTTCAAAAAAAAACCGATATTAATAGGGTTCCGAACCGAGTACGGAACCCTAAAAATGTAAACGAAATCAAAAATTTTACATTTTTTTATCAATCTTCAAACTCCAGTCATTTTTTGAGAAAAAGTCACATATTAATTTGGAATTTGCATCTGAAAGCATGCATGTTTTATTACATGTAAAACGCCCTGTAAAAAAGTAGTATTGGGAGGTACGCAATTTTTCATGCCAATGCGGTATTTGCGAAATACCGTATTAGGTGTCACGGTCACTGTTTAAAAAAACGAAACAACGTTACAGGAATTATAAATAAATGTAAGCTATGAAAAATAAAAGTTAAAAGATATATATATAATACTGAGTAGAAATATTAGGTTCCAATGAAATAAGGTGAAGTGAAATGTAAAATACGAGTCCAATGCGGCACGGCATATAGTGATTTCAATGCGACGCAGAGTCGGTACGTAGAGTGCGCAGCAAAGCGGCCTTTTCTTTTTTACCGACAGCGGGTTCTTTGTATTAAAATGATAATTTTTAAAATAATAAAAAAATATTAATTAATAGTAGAGAATATATTTTAATGAGGTAGTATAAAATGTTAATCCTCAGGGTACGGACTGGGATTCTTTGGCAAGAATCAGCTTATGTTTTCCACAGAGAAAAGAGGTATAGTGCACCGTACTTCTACGCGTTTAGTAAGAAAATTTGAGTCGTGACGAATAAACATTGAGTCATGGCTACTAAACAGCATTCAATTGTTTTTTAGTCGATCGTACTAAACGTAGTAGTGAAGGTAACTGTCTGCTTAGTAAAGCAAACTATACCGGTTCTTGCCGTCAATCTTAACATGGTTTTGACATGTGTTTTAATATGTGCGAGATGGAGGTTAAACAACTGTTAAAAAGTTGTGGGCTCGAGAAATATAAATATATAAATTTTTAAACAATTATTCTGTTCAAGTTTTTTTTAAATCAGATTATTAAATTAACTTTAAAACATATTAAAATCATTTAAAAAGCAATTAAAAAAATCAAACGAAATCGAGATAAAATATCAATTTTCAAAACTTTATTTGTTATGATACTTATTTTTAGGTTATTATTGTATTAATTATTAAAGTTATTTTCTCACATTTTATTTAAATCTGACATAAATGCTGTTATTTTCTTTATTAAACTAAACAATTATTGAAAATATACGTTTTAATTCTTTAACCTCAACACCGTCGGTGATTTTTATGTAAAATGTTTCTTGGTTTTCACTAATTTCGACCACCATAAACAAAATCTGGGAAAAATAATATAACGTTTTATAAAATTATATAGAATATAAGTTTTAACTATTATAATTAATGTATTTATTATAAAAAAGGTTATAATGTTTATTTTGGTGTACTGTAAACACAATCCCAGACATGACAGTTCAAATCGTATACATGACAGTTCATATCGTAAACGATACGTTTTACGTTGGTAGTCCTGCTAACTAAACGGCCGTTTAGTGAAGCTTACTCTTTGTTTTGTTGAACGAAAATGTCACCATATTGTTTAGTAACTATGACTCAGCGCTGAGTTCAATCGACTATCTACTTCTCTCCGTGTCTCTTCTTTTTGTTCTTCCTTGAAATTTTCTGCCGGGTAAAATTTATCCAGTCAGTGACCAATGTCGGAAAATGCAAGTCGGAAGGTTCTCTTCCTTAAGATGTATTTAAAGAGAAAAACGTAGTCCGACCTCAAAGTTAGTTAGCGTTTTCTTTTTACAGGCATGGTGGGGGGGGGGTGATTTATGAGAAATTGATTTCTATGGTTATTTACTTAATTTCTATATCTAAAACTGAATTTTTTCTTCTTCTGAATGTTGTTTTGGATTCAGTAAATTTAATAACATATAAATTGGATGTATAAAAAAAATAAAAATGGCGGATCTAAAATGGTGGATTTTTTCAAAAAATTGTTCGGATTTCCTTGAAACTTACTACTCGGGGGTTTTTGGGGTCGCTGTTTACAAATATGATGTTAGTTTATAAAAATTCAAAATGACGGATCCAATCTAGCGAACAAAAAAGTTTGAAATGAATGAAATCGATTGAAACTTCTTACTCGGTGGGGCTTTTTGAGGTAGCTGAATACGAATTTTAGATATAGAAATTAAGTAAATAACCATAGAAATCTTATTTCTCAAAAATCACTCCACCATGCCTGTAAAAAGAAAATGCGAACTTACTTTGAGGTCGGACTACGTTTTTCTCTTTAGATACATCTTAAGGAAGAGAACCTACCACATGGAAGTTCTGCCAATCAAAATTTTTTTTGTGTACCGGTGTAATTTGTTTAACGTCTAAAAAACTGTATATTTAAAGGAATCGTATAGAAATTAGTACATTTTTATGTACATATGAATACCCGGATCAAATAACTCGACCGACGCTTGGACGCACGCTCTAATGGTAGTCGGGTAGCAGTGAGCCGCCCACAGGCTGTCACTGCTACTTGACTGGTAATAGAGCGTTCGTCCGAGCGTCG